TGGCTCGTGGATGCTGAGAACAACAAGTGTGGCTAGCTATTCATTTAAAGTTTGGTGTGTGCTCACATGTGATCGTAGCGATATCAGTTCTCGATATCGGACCTGGGTATGGCAATAAGCTTATGAGTAGGCGAGCGCGTAAAAAAACAGCAAATCCATCGTGAATCGCCTTCGAACTGTGCGATGACGCTGCAATCGCCAGTGCCAACTGATACGAACAACACACGTGGCTTTCGGGACGGTGCACCCTTTGGTGACAGTGGAGTTTGGAGAGAGCATTCGTATTGAAGATGGTTATACCCCCTCCAATCATAACTGGGCCACACCAACAGCGGAAGGCACGATTGAAATATCTACTTTTAGCGGTCAGCCACACTCTGATTTTATCCCGCCTATTGAGACTGTAGCATGGACAGCTTTCGACTTCTGTATCATGAAGACACCCCATTTCCTATGGCAACCGCTCTTGCAAAACGCTAGCACCATTGGTGTTAGAGGCAGCACTTACTTCGATCTACCCAATGGAATGTTTGCGATGGCTCCAATGGACCAAACTGTCGAGAACTTGGATTGGCAAAACTTTGATACTGAGCACCATTTACAAGTATCATATTCTCTCAGCCCAAGAACTACTGCTCATAATGGAGTGCCAAACAATTTTAGCCTGCGCAGAGGAATAGAAACAGAGGCAACTTGCGCGCCTTCGATTTTGTTTGGGCTTCTTCTCCGCGTTTAAATGGCTGACCGCTACGAATGACGAGGGCTTTAGAAATGGAAGCTTTGCTCAACTAAGGTATTGTAGTAACATCGAGACTTATGACCAGGACAGATCTTTGGCTGCCCAACCTAAGAATGATACTTTATCGATGGAGCAAAGTTCACTCGGGTCCACTAGACGGGGTCTCCACAGAGCTGGTTCTTACTGTTCGCGATAATACAGACATATATGGGTATGATGGTTAACTGACATTTAGTATCCAGCACCTACGATGGCCTGCGTTACAATATTTGTTTGAGAGCGATAGTGGCTTGTCGATTAGACAGGCTCACTGTTGTTTTCGCCACGTTTTATGATTAGGGCGTTTGGCGACTGTTTTTTTTAAATTAATCACGTTAAGTTGGGTTTCGCTCCAACTCGACCGAACCCGTAGGTATCCAAAGCGAAAGCGAGCTTATATCTCCCGCTGCTTCTTCCAACTACTCCCATAAACCGTATTAAAGCTAATATGCAGTCCTAAGTCAAATCAATAACTATACCGACATCCACCGTCGCGATTTAAGAGAATTGCGTACCGTCAAAATGTTATGGCTACTTTTAAGCGGCACCGCTGGGGTACCGCAGCTATCCAAGAGCTATCATCTACTGCCTCTCCCTCGATATATCGTGAGCCTTACCATGTCGGTTTGATATATGTCAGCAGAGGTTTTTAACTGATGCCATACCGGCCTGGAATAAATCGAGCTAACCTGCATTCGACCGACTTATCATGCACACAGATGCAGCTTAACACGACCAGTCGGGTCGAGTTATCACGCATGTGGTCGAGTTAATCTTCATTTGGTCGACTTATCACGCATGTGGTCGAGTTATTTGAACACAGATGCAATTTAAGTGGACCAGTCGAGTCATCCTTTTTACCAACCGTAAATGTTTAACCGGTTAAATTATGGACCGGTCCGTGTTTTTTTATATGCCTACCTCCACTGATTTGGATTTGTGAGACATGGAAAAGAAGCGCCGCTGCGTACAGTATACTGAGGTCGACAAGACCAAGGCGCTAAAGATCTGGGCGGAAAACAGAGAATGGAGTACATCACAGGCAGCGTCTGAGTTAGGAGTAAAGAAATTCACACTTCTCGGCTGGCGCAAAGCTTTATCGGACTCAAAACTCGCCATTGTGAAAGAGCCGAGTTTGGACCCCGGGTGATACAGGAAGAGCGGTGCTGGGCCCGACCGCCAAGAAAAACCATACGAAAATCGAGTTTACAGTTTTACCGGAACTGCGTTGAAGGCGGTAGCAAAATCTCAGTGGCTGAATTACAGAGGTATTGTGAGCAAATACCAGAATTTGCTATACAAAACGACCACATGAAGCAAAATTGGGTATGGCGCTTTATTGACCATTATCGAACAATCTTCACGCAGTCGCAGATGGCGATTAAAAACAGTAGTCACGCTAAGGGAAATGCCGAGGGCCACGGTGAGAGAGCTGCCCAGTGTGCTGCTGAAGAGGAAGAGGGGTGTCACAGCGTTACGGCGACTACTGACCGTGTTAATAATCCAGAGCCGCAGGCTTCTCTTCAGAGGCAGAGCGTAGGGTCTGTGGAACATGAAGGTGCGGTTATCCGCAAAAAACAGGAGGCGGTGATGCTGGATGCTGAGTGTGAGCGGCTTGGTGGCGAACCAGAAGGAGCAGTGACTCAACCAGGCGTCGAGTTTAATTTAGATGCGGCTGGCGCGGATGACGACTACTTGGTGGAGGAGGTCCACGAAACTGATAATCGCGATCCGCTGACAGTGAAGTCACTTGATATGATTTTTTCAAGACTTCCAACATACGAATCAAGACAATTTCAAAAGTTTTTATTTCGAGAAAACCCCAAGAATTACTGCAGTCCGTCTAAACAAGGTGCCGGTCAGCTCGCTATTGTTCCCCGATAAAATTAGCAAGATTCTACCAAGGGATTTTATTAGGCGCTGCTCTCAAAACATCACCTAGCTTCAAGGAAAAACTAAAAGTCTAGCTGAAAAGGATATCGCAATGAAAATCGAGGGCGTAGGAACATTGTCGACGACGACCGTCGGCATAGTGAAGAAGTGGCACACTGCCATGTCGGCTGTCAAAGATATCAAGAAGGCGACTTTATGGATCCAAGGTATCGACTTCTCTATCGTTATCTCCCCTCACGCCAAGGCAACGAGAGATACTGGCGTCGAGAAGCGCTTAAATAGTCTCTATCTGTCGTCACTCAAGGTAAGACACTCACCGATCATCTTAATATTGTTAAACCATCAAACAAACTGATGAGCACAAATATTGTTTTTTTACTATACAGATAAAATACATTTACGTATCTGGAAATGGTTCGCTTAGTGACGGAGCTGTTAATTTACTTCTGGCGAAAAACTTTGGAAATCGAGCAGACATTGTGGCTATCAATGCGGGGTGCATTGGAGTTGTGTTTAATGGGACTTTTGGGATTACTACTGATGACTTAGCCAAATTGTTTTTTAGTCTATCGGATGAATGGGTCCTGATCCAACTTAATTGCAACGGTGTTCACTGGTGTGGCATCATGGTGCAGCTTGCCACTGCAACAATGCTGTTGTACGATCCGATGGCTTCATCATACCAAAGTGATGTAAAAATGATGTCACTAGCATTATACCACTGCTTTCACCCCCGAAAAAGGGTTTTCGATACCGAGTTCGGACGTTTGCATCGGATATGTGCGTCCAAGTAGACAGCTATAACTGCGGAGTGTTTGTCGTAACAGCCTTCGACACATTCTGCGGAGCACCGGCATCAGGAGGGCAAGGTAAAAAATTGACGCAATACTTAAGATATAGATGTATTTCTAAGCAATTTGAATAACATTCTTGGTCTTTAAAATCCATAACATGATATTGTGGGTTATACTCAAAATTTTCAGGGCCGATTGACATGCCTCCAGGCGCAAAAATCGCTCCACTACCAAACAACATAAAAAATGACAAATGAGAGTGGTTTTCTCGCTTTACATCATTGTTCAAGATGGAGTCTACGTCGCCAACGCAGACACCTCAAGGGCGAGTGCGAACGTCCTCGTACCCGGAGCGACGCCGTAGGCCAGCGTCAACTGAGGTATACCAACCAGCATCATCTCACGTTTACCGGTTGGTCATGCAGCCCATTGTGAAGGAGACGGTAGGCGAGCGAGACCGCTCTGGTCACTCTCTTGACCCCATTGTAGCAGGTGGAACTTCGTTCCAGGACATTCTGGAGAAAATATGGGCGGAATTCAGCCCTCATGCTAAAGGGATCGCAGTGAAGTCCGGTGGGACTTGGACTGTCGAGCAAGCTGCGATTGACTCTTGGTCCAAGTTCATGGTGTTCAAGGTGAAAAAACACATCGTCGACAGCTCAGAATCCAACCAGGACTGGAACACTTGGCTTCAATCAATGCATGACAAGACTGCCACGCTTCTCATCTATGAATATGGCGTCAGTCTCAGGAGAAAACAAGAGCGCCAAGCTTTTCAAAAGGAGTGCATTCTCCCAGCCGAGACTGACAGGGCCGGCGCAGCTGCTGAAGTCACACTTCGCGAGGTTGTGGGGCGTCTACAAGTCTTTTGGAGCGCCACATACACAGGTGAAGCTGTGGTGTGGCGTATGTGGGCTACTGAGGTGGTTCGCAGTCAGGATCGTTCCACATGGGACGATAAAAACGTGCTCCACCACCTCCACATATTTTGCGACTCTTGCGGACTACTGATTCTCGTGTCCAAGAACACGTCAATGATCTTCACCGCTCGACACAAATTGCTCTCGACGTCGTGAACGCATCTATCGCTGGGTCAACAGAGTTACGTCGCGACTGGGAGATGTATGGTCGCCGGTTGGAGAGTTTTGAGACGATGTTGCAGGCTCGTAAGGTCCAAATTGAGTCGCTCCTCCATCACATGCCTCTATTAGACCCTGGAGAGTTGGTCGACCCGCTGCAGAACATGGAAAATCTTGAGGATTTTGAGCACCAATAATTCAGATAGTTTAAGCGAGCGTGCTATCATTCGTTTGTTTTTTTTGCTTTTTAACTAAGCGTACGAAAGCCTAATAAATCCTCGTCCAATTCTTCTTCTTCCTCGGAAACGTCCTCCCAAAAGTCAGGTACTGCGCGTGACTCTGTTGACAGCGGCCCCACATGATTGAAAGTTCCATCGACCATCCAGCCGCAATGTTCAAACACCCGAGCCATATTAAAGTTCACAAAGCGTCGAAATGTGTCAACAATAAATGGCATTAAGTCACGATTCGTGGACTCCACGTAGTAGCGCTGAAAGGCTTTCTTGACGTAACCAAAGAGAAATTCGATGGGATTAGAGAACGGGCAATAGGCAGGTAGAAAAATCGGTACAATTCCGATACTTCTTAGATAATGCACAATTTCAGGGTGTCGATGGATGGATGCACCATCTAAAATCCAAACAGAATTAGTTCTGGGGTAAGGTCGAGCACTGGCACGCTTAGAGTACGCAAAATCTTGACAACATCGAGCAAACTCTAATCGGTCAAATGTTCCAACAGTGTCATAGTAGTCAATAATGCCATTGACACCAATAAACGCAAGCATGGAGACTCTGGGTTTTCGCTGGAACTCACCCCGAATAGCCACCTTTTGACCTCGAAGTGCGTAGCCTCTCTTTCGCATCATTCCCCTGTTATCGAATAAACTTCATCCAGAAACACAACATTGTAGTAGGTCCAGTTGATGTGACTCAGCTCCTCCACAAACCGAAAGATGTCTCGCTCTTTGATTTGAATGGCTCGGCGTTCCAACACTTTCCAAGTTAGCCCAAAATCGTGAATAATTCTCCACACGGATGTTTTGGAAATGGTGAGCTGAAAATTCAAGCGAAATGCAGTTTGTGCCTCGTCCAGATATGCTAAAGGTCTCTGCTCAAAAAATACTTGAAGCCATGAGCGCTGTTCTACCGTAAATTTCCGGTCTGACTTTGACGTAGCGCGTTGGTAGGTCGCCGTAACTTCATACACACGAATCCAGTTTCCTATTGTCTGCTGTGTTTTGTTGTAGATGTGTGCCAGTTCCTTCCTGGAATAGCCAAGATAGTAATAGCCGTACAAGCAGTGGAAAACTGTGTTGGGACTAGCATGTTGCCGAGTAGCTGCTGCCTCCATCGTGCTAAAGAGTAACAAATGTTGTTTGGCAAATCGTTGACGTATCTACCAGAATCAAAACACAAGATTGACAATAGTACCAAGTGTACGGGTGCGTCCTTGGAGATCCAGGGCTGCAAGGAAAGGTGCTGCAAAAGAAGCATCCAGCAGTGCAGCAGTGCAGCAGTCCGGTTCGTTCCGCGTTAAACGGCAATCCTAATTGACCAATCAGAGCGCGCTGTTGATTTGGGCGCGATGCCCACGAATCGATCGAGAATTCCAAATATACTCGGAATCCACAATAGGTGAGGCTAAAGCAAGAAGCCAATGTGACTTGACGGGGGTTTAAGGAATCATTGAGCTAGCGCTCAGCAGCATTGTATATTGCGTTGTAGCAGACAAGCTAGTCGGACTGCGTGAAAGTGCAAAAGCACCAGAAACAGCTTGAACATTTGGCAAAGGGGCGATTTAGCATCGTTTCTTTAAAAAAAACAGTGCGCGCCTTTCCCGATCCTCCCCAGAAAATGTATATACTGTAAGCAAAGCGCAACAGGTTGTGGCATATGAATTATGTTAGTAACACGCAGATAAGGTTGATTATATATGTGTACGGGCTTCTCACTGTTGCTGCAGCTCACAAACCTTAAAAACGCGCAATTCCAAGACTGAGGACCTATGAAGCGTGTCGAGTAGATTCCCATCTAAATAATGCACCGCCCGACAGTGTCAGAACAGGTATATTACACGAGAAACAGGAGCTGTCTCTCCTCGCCTTCCAGTACGCCGCTGTTGGTCCACTCCGGGTTTGTTTTTAGGAATAATTGGAAGACTATATTTATAGTAACGGACTATAATTTTTGACAGCTTGCTGAAGAAAAAGGAGAAAACATTTTGCCGGCGCCCCGTTTTGTTTTTTGCTAGGATCCCAACTGAATTATGCTGGCGCCCTTTTGACTTGTCAAACCTTTGCGAATTTCCAACTGCATTTTCACGCCGGGCAACCTCCTGAACTTACTTAACAGCATCGCTGTGTAGTTTCTGCTTGTAAGGGCCCGACCTTGCTTTTTCCTTTAGTGATCATGACTTCTTCATCGCAGCTGAGGTAGTAAAAGCCCCTTGCGTGCTTTCGAGTCAGATCTGATCTTGAAACACTGGCAAACCGACCATCGGCAACACGCACCGCACGCTGAAAGTAAACCTTCTCTCTCTCTGGCTTGGCACTTGGAAAACCCTTCCAGTCGGGCAAATCTCCACACCAGTGAGGTTTGGATACATTTTCTTTGCCTCGGCAAGCGAATGTGACTCGACAGCCTGTAGGACCGGTGGCGTTGGCATAGAGACCTTGTCGTTGGCCTTAACACGCTCGAAAGCGGCCGTCCTGGGGTTGTACTGGTTCGAGCAGTGCTGGAAAAACGAGCGCTGGCACGAGAGCGCCTAGAGGCAGTTGTCTGTCCATGGTGAGCTGCTGAAGTGCTTCGAGGCAACTTGGGTTTCTTTTGCGGGGGTTGAGTTTGTGCGCTTAAATCGCTGCGTACGGGAGGCGTTTCCAAGTCGTCGTCATCGCTTTTATCGGCCATTACTTGGTCAGTTTTCATAAAGGGGGAATGCAGGTTTGGTTACCGGCTGAACACAAAGCAAAGATCCCAAGGAAAGTGCCATGACAGATTCCTGTATGGCAGTCGACTTGGAAAATGGGAACGGATCCTGATGTGGTCTAACTAACTTCAACTTGCCAGAAATTATTGCTTCGATTTGATTGGCAATCCAAACTGATTTGAATTAATCAGCAGTAGTGATTTATCTGGGTGTCGACTAAGAGTCGGCAGGGCGTCCCTCTCGAGCAACGTCGAGTCGACGTCCAAGACCGCGATGTCGATAGCTCTATAAAAAAGCAGCTTTTGCAGGCTGATAATGAAACTACAAAAGCTAAGAAATCCAAAAAGCGCGTTATAGTATCCACGTACTGTTTATTGGAGACTGGCTTCAACAATGACCTGTAGTCGACCACCCAGCCTTTCAGAGTCGAGCTCCACGCCCGCAAGCATCGCGATCAGGGCGGGGGCACAATCGCGTAAGATGAAAAATGATGTTAACGTATATTTACTGCGTCAAAGAGGTATTGTTGCTTACCACAAAACTAACGAAGTGCTTATTCTGGAAGATAATGTACGGCGTAAGAACAACCCTATATGGCGCAATATTCTGCAGCGTTGGCGTGTTGGGGATTATAGGCAAGAGGATATTGATACAGCTAATGGCTGCTGCTACAAGATAGGATGGTCTGATGATACATGAGGCGACGACGATTCATTGCGGCCGATTATTACCACATCAAGCCCCATTCGGTTGAGTTCAACATGCCGGGGACAGATAATAAATACTTTCAGCAAACGGACAAGAATTACATTACGTTGCAGAAGAAGTATCTTGACCGCTCGCAGCCCGTATCGCGAACCCAACGACGCAGTCTGGGAATGTTACGAAATGACAAAACTGGTAAACTCCCGGTGACGATAAAAACTGCAGTTGGAATGTTAGTTCAATGTACAAAGAACGTATCCTGAGCACTTCATTTATCGTATCGTCTAACCGGCAACATAGAGTATTTCTCAGTGTTTAGCCGCAAAACCGTTGATATATTTCTAAAAAATGTTTTTGATGCATATGTTTACTCACAACCAGCCTAATTATTTTCTTGTCACAAAAACCTTCATTTAATCGGTTTTTTGCCACGAACATTTAGTTAAACGTGCTGTCCGCAGAAGAGACGAAAGTGGTGTACGAGTACAAATTAATCATCGCAGTTTTAGCGTAAAATCAATATGCGTATATTTAGTATCATCATTCGTCAGCAACAGCGTTCCGTGCTATGTCAATTCTTAAAGCAACGGCTAAAAGTAGCCAAGGGCTGGATTATCAGGGAATTAGGAATGTATCTGCTTTTATTTTAATATAAAACATATGCATATAGAAATGACTAGACGAGCTCTCAGCCCATATGATTACGGTACGTGGAAAGAATAGTCTCCTTAAGCGACACTTTTTCTAAAAAGTGGGTGGACCAATTACATTCTCTGATATATCTACTCATCCTAAATTGTCAGACAGGTTCAATTTTACTTGATATAATATTTTTCTTATTTGGAAAACCGCCCGAAGCGCGCTTTTGGCTCCGCTGAATTTCTGCTCGAAACCGTAGCTCATTTGACGACACAGGTAACATCCATGTAATTTTTAAAATCATAGAGGCTATTAGACTGCATGATTATTTAGAGCTCCGTTTTATTGTGCACGATATGTCGCTCGGTTTTATGGTCTAGACCAAGCATGATTGGCGCATAAAAACAGGCGTAAAACTGAGAAAGGAAAGGCATGCGTGGAGTTATTAAATCTGCACTCGATTTGCGTTTAAAAAACGCAAAAAGGGTCGTTTAAATAATATCGATGTCGATTTGTCGTAAATCGAGAAGCGCTTGTAGCTCTATTTACAAGCCACTTTAACTCGATCGATATATCTCTTTTTATAAGCTCGATATACCTCGATTTGTTAAAAATCGAGCTATCACCCTACTGGTATTGATAATCGACAAACGCTTTGCAAAGCACAATAATATACCATTCAAATATAAGCCTTGTATTATCGCTTACCTGGGCTGAAACAATTTTGATGACAAATGGCAAAAAAAAAGTCATGTCCCTCTGTCGATTCGTCCCTTATTAATAAATTATAGCTCTAAAAGGATTTTGAGAGAGCAATAACCTAGTGAAAACAGTAGCCTCTGATGATTGACTCGAATCAGTCACTACCAGCGGGGATACGAGAGTACCGGTAGTAGCTCGGGCATCCGGGTTTTCTGCACTCAGCTTCCCAGCTGATCATTCCAACAAAACTGTCGCCTTCCTGTTGTGCAGGCTACACATGCTGATACAATATAAATACCAGCCAGCACCAGATACAAGGTGCAGCTATGTGAAATGGATCGTCTACGCCTCCGGTGTGCGCAGATCAACGAATGTGATGACACTGTACGTTCATAAGGGTGCGGCTTATCTGCTATACAAAATCGGATGCTTTTCAATACAATTTCCATTGGATGGAAATCGATACTTCTGTATGTATAATGCAAAGCATGTGGTATTAGAACTACTATGGTTATCACCACGATGTCGTGAGTCACGCTTCGACTAGAAAAGACGCGCTGTAACGTTTAGCCCTTCGTGATGGCACTTGTTAATCAGCGCAGCCAATTGATCCACTTCCAGCAATTCCCTAGCACCATTGTTGAACTCAACCGCCCAGTTATAGACACCTCTTGGCCCAATACAATTATGCCAATCCACAACTCGGCCAGGTACATTTCTCAACGTGATTTTTCCTTCGGTGTCTTCAACTGGAAGTTGTTTGGTCACGTTCCACCCAATTGGAAAGAATGGTTTTTAAACGAATTGTTTTTCCAGTTTTCCAACTTCGAAGTATCTAGAGTCGTCCTTGCTCAGACAATTTGTTTTTATTTCGCTGACCCCCACTCTGTTTCCGAACAGGCATGTGAGCGGTTGCTGTTGCAGGTCATATTGCTTCATCAGGGCAAGTGTTGCAATAACATGACTGCAAACCCAGCCAGTAGTCCAAAACCCCTTACAATCACAGCGATATCGTGACCGAACAGCCAGAATCTGTAAGGATAAATTGTTAAAATTATTTTTTGCATCTCAACATTTTACACAATGTTACCTGATCCGACGGTACTGTAGGGGTCAAGCTCAGCTGAAAGTCTGAAGTAGGTGCATCAGGATGTACTAAAACCTCGTGCAATGAGGCAAAAGAGAGATTAAAATCAGGAACTTCGGACCTTTTCCGTACTTTTCCCTTTTTCGAGTCGAGATATCTGTATGACATACAAACATTGAAAGTTATGCTGATATATTAAGTTGGATAAATGATGAAAAAAAACCCTGGAGACTCGGGCATCGGTGATTTCCACTCCACACTGGTTTCTAGGGTAAACAGCGTATTCCCAAGTATTGAAAACAATGGAGCTCAGTTTTGTTGGGGAATCCAAGATGAGGTATTGCTTCCTATGATTTTTTTCACGAAAAAACACTCGTGCGTGTTCAACCATTTCGCTGGGAACAGGACCTAAAACAATTTTTAATTTAGTCAAACATATTATGATGAAAAAGTTAAATATTACCTTCGCAGAAATGACCGTATCGGGATATCTTTTTGTCACTGTTCAGCAAAAGGATCGCTGGGAGGGTGTCATTCAAAACGACTGAGGTCGCTGCATGTAGCTGCGGAGTGCACACCGTTTTTATCACTTTGTTGTGGGATTCGATGGGGTTTTGTGACGGCAAAACACTAGGCACAGCAGAAGTAGCAAACCATGTACCCCATAGAACGCCCTAATACTGGCTTTTGAACCAATCCGCGTACGCTTGTTCGTTTTTGTCGCTCCAATATTTAACTATACGCTCAGCCATTGCCGTAAATTGTTCTTCGATACGCGCTTGCTCGAGGAGGTATATATTCATCTCGACGTAAGAACTGTAGAATCCAGAGTCATTCAATAGGCCAGCTTTTTCGAACGCTTTTCTGAAAAGGTGTGATTAACAATTAAGTATTTTGATACCAGGCCAGATGGAGGAAAAAGCTGTAGCAATGTAGGAAGCATGATCTTGGCTTCCGTACTTTAAAACCAAAGAATCGTTGAAGTAATCAGCGACGAATCGCTTAGCTGTAGAGAATAACGTTTTGTTGGCAAATTTATGCTCCGTACGCACAAACATGTACATCCAAGGTACAAATGAATGTCGGTAACGTTTTCTTTCATACACAGAGCAAGAACTGCCGAGTGCTACCAGAGTCCAGCGATCTTTAATAAACGTGAATACTACTAAACGTGAATAGTAATATACATGGGTTAGCAGCTGTAATAAATATTTTGTAATTATTTAGTAATAACACTTACTGAAATCGATGCGGTAGGTGCCATCGGTAACTCCAACGAGACCGGTCTCTCTTTGATCACAAATACATCGGTACAGATTTCGAAAAAGACGTCGCGATGTGAAAATAACACCAAACGAAGTTTCTTTCCCGGTGTCACCATCAAACCTAAGATCAAATGTGTTCAATATGAGTAATTCATTCTGAAAGTCGAGACTTTGTTGAGTAAATGCCGCCAGATCAATAAACCCATCAATCCCCAAGCTTCCGAAAAACTTGTCAGCCGCAGTACACATGTGCGGGTCATCAGAACTGAAAAACTTGAAATGTCCCAATTGTTTTTTAGTTTCTTCTTCAGACTGGCTTTTCTGTTCTTCAGTTTGATTTCGTCTGGAATCTTGGCTAGCATGGTTGGGTCAAGTTTATATTTCTTCTGTAGTAGAAGTACGCATCGTTTTGGACCTGCTCCACCTTGAAGAATGCTATCCACCTCTGGTTTTATCTGCATGTCAATACCAGACCTCTTTCGGTGCGTTAGCAACTGGCTATGGGTACCACTAGATTCTACTTCGTATGAAGAAGTCGTTATGAAATGAGAAGAGTTGAGCTCTGAAATCTTAACGATCCGTAGCCGACGAGAACGCGCCTCATGCGAAATGCAAGTGTAGACACTCTTGCGACGTCCTGTCGGCCCATACGTACGTGGATGGCTGTATTCAGATGTATCAGCACTGTTTAGCGCTGTAACAGCAGCATCTTCTGTAAAATGGGTTGAGATAAACCGGAATGAACTATGTGCGTCGCTAGAAGAATCACCCTCAGGCGGCGAGACCTCTGGATCTTGTCCATCGTTGCTCATGACTGCGGTTCAGCGTCTGTTGGCGAATGCGCCGTCTCGTGTCATACCAGGATGTCTAAAAATATCAATATGTTGTAGCACACACAGCTGTAATATAAATAAACGGGACAGAGTACATCAATACCACCTTTTAGCTATTGAAAAGCATCCTTTTTTTAAAGGTGTTGAATTCAATCTTTTTTTGTATTGAAAATAATATCTTTCCAGATAAAACGAGTCCTTCACTCTCCTTGTCATTCCGAGCCAGAACTTCTGGCTCATTGTCAATTCGATTGCCCCGAGCGTTCTTGCCTTCACGGTCCAAATTTGCTTCAGAAGAGACGTGATCAGGTTTGCTACAAAGGTAAGCTTTTCGCCACGCTTCCTTCATCCAATTCTCCAATTGACAGTCTTTCGGGTTCACCCAGACATCACCGTCGGAGTCGCTATCTTCAAAACTGTGGTCCCGCCTGAGTGAGGACTTGGTTATGCAGCACATTCCCCCGTTGATAGCGTTGCCGATCGTCGTAGCTGCTACTCCGATACTGCGCTCAAGAGTGGCATTGAGCTGCTCTGCAAACTCCACGTGCTCTTTATCGCCTCTCAAAACTGAGCTTGATTGTTGCGACTATTCTTGTCGCTCAGGACTCACTAAATCTGGGTTGCTGAGCAGCACATCCTGGAAAGACGTCTTTAGCCATTCTTCATCAATTCGAATCGACCGATGTTTGAAGCGCATTTGCTGCTTCTGCAGCTTCTCACGCAGAACTGACGTTGCATCCGCTTGGCGTTGAATTTGTAGGTTCATTTCCGACTGTGTGTTCGTAACCAGACTTTGCACGCGAGATTCCAGCTGACGTGCCGCCTGCGTTTGTCAGTTCCAAAACCAAATGCCGGACTGGTTCCTCCATTCTGGTTGCGATTTCACGTTAAATTTCGGTGCGGGCACGCTGGAGCTCTGTATCGATTGTTTGTTTTGCCTCAGTTATAGCCGCAGCTACCGTTTCGTCCACCACTCCCTGTACTTGCGCCGCACTTACAGAATCATGCTGCAGGCTTGCCAACTCACTTTCAGCGACTTGACGAATGTGACTAGCGAAAGCGGCTTGGCTATTGGCGACAGTTTGTTCCATATCGACCAAAAGCTTCTGAGCGACGTCCGTCTGTAAGGTAATCGCTTGACTCGACTGATGCACTTTTTGTAGAGCCTCGCCCAGTTTCTTATCGACGAATTTTTCGATCTGCATAGCTCGGTCCCCTTCCAACACCTGCATTTGCTGGAATTGAGACGCCAGCTCGTTTTGTGTCGTAGCTAGCGCTTCACTAAGCGGATGGGCAATGGCATGTTGTTGCTCAGTGAGCTGCTGCACTCGTATTTCCGTCGAAGCTTGAACAGCCACCAGCGCCGCGTTATGTGCGTCGTTTTCCCCACGCTAGTGATGCTGGAACATGGTCTGCTCTTCAGCAAGGGCCTAAGTCTAGGTAATGAAGTGCTGCGCGATGTTCATGAAGTGTTGGGTTGCGCTTGAACAGAGCTCAAGCGCTGGTGTCTGCGTTGTGGCCATATGTGGGACGATGGCGGTGTCTCCGCAATTATTGAAGCCGTGCCCAGCAGGGAAAACGTCTCGGATCTTGAATGGCTGTGCAGTGTGGGCGGGAGCCGGTTGGCCTTCAGCCTGAGTGATGGTCGCTCCTCGGCTGCGCCGAGTGGTGACCATTGTGGTGAAGGAAGTAGTCGTAACAACAGTAAGTTGCAGGGACTGAAAGTCCAGCAGGGGAGAAAACCGAGTGCTGCTGCTTGCTCTTGACGGCGCAAGTTGTCGAGTGTGTAGCAGCACACGGAAAAACCCCGGTAACATATATTCGTAGGATTAGCAGTAGGATGGGGCTGGCGGCTCGCCAGCCAATGGTCCGTCGAAGTCCGGCTTCTGGACGCGAGCATCGCGTCCTGGAGGCACCTGAGCCTCAGGTTTGAGCTGGACGCAGTCCTGGCTCTTCCTCCACACTTCACACTCCCACTTGATCTAGTCGAAGCGCAGCTTCAACATGATCACCTTGTAGAGCTCACCACGATGTCCTTGGCATCTTCTAGCTGCGCTGCAGCACGACGCTTCGGCCTTGGCAGCGCTCTTCCTCCTTCTTGTCCTTCGCATGCATGAACTGGTAGTAGTAGCTTGCATTTACGCATGGCGATGATGTTTGGCTCCCACTGAGCGAGATGAGCCTTGCTGACGGTCGATGCGCAGCACCTTCATCCCATCACGGCAATGTTCGAGCTTGTCCTTCGGCAATGGCTTCGTCATCGCGTCGGCGATCATGTCGTCGGTGCCAACATGGCAAATCCGTAGCTGCTCGTCTTCCACGAGGTGGCGCACCAAGTGGAACTTGTTCATAATGTGCTTGTTCTTGCTGTGCTTGCCAGGCTTGGCAGTCAGATAGATACATGACTTGTTATCGCCGATAATCTCCGGAGTCACGAACTCCCAGCATAGTTCTTCACAGAGTCCACGTAGCCACTGTAGATCTCTAGTGCCTTCATTCATGGCAATATACTCTGCTTCCGTTGTGCTCTGTTCGTTAATCTCTTGCTTTCTTGATCCGTACAAACCACGTTACCATTGACGAACGTCACGAACCCGCTAACACTCTTTCGGTCATCAGGGTCATTAGCGTAGTCAGCATCGGTGTAACACGTCAGCTTGACGTCGTTCCCAATAACAATGTCCATCACTAAGCCGTGGTCTTGAGTACCACTCAGGTAGCGTAGCACCCTCTTTCCCATAGCATAGTGTGTGTGGTCGAAGCAGGACAGGTACTTGCTGAGATTACGCACAGCGTGCGCAATGTCCGGCCTTGAGGCTGAGACCAGATATTGTAGTGCACCAACGAGCTCTCGGTACGAAGGCGGGGAGTCATATTTCGCATCTGTGACCACCTCAGCGCGCAGCGCTTCCGGTGTTGCAACCGCGTTGCAACCCTCCATGTAAAATCGCTTTAGCACCTCCGTAATATGTTGCCGCTGGCAAAATACCGCATGTCGACGCTCGCTGTCGATCAGTATCTCCACGCCTAGTAGATACTTGACTGGTCCGAGAGATGTGAGTTCATACTCCTCACTGAGTTGCTTAGCAACCTTAGCGCAAAGATCACTAGGGCCGAGGAGCAGTAGGTCGTCGACGTACACCGTGAGCAACATGGTGACTTCTCCTCCCACTTTCCTGGCGTAGAGTCCGTAGTCAGAGTCGAGGCGCTCGAGTTTGATCTTCGTCAGGAACTTGTGGAATGTCTTGTTCCAAACGCGAGGCGCTTGCTTTAGCCCATACAAACTCTTCTGTAGCTTGCATACGTAGCGCGTAGAGTCTTCTCCGAAGCCTGGAGGCTGCTCTATATAGACCTCCTCGTCGAGATCACCGTACAAGAACGCGGTCTTGCCGTCGAACTGCAAGATGGCCCATCCGCGTTGCAGTGCGTATACGATCACGCATCTGATCGTCTCAAATCTGATAACAGGTGCGTATGTTTCACTGTAGTCGATGCCCATGCGTTGTAAAAAGCCTCTGATCACTAGTCGAGCTTTATATCGCTTAATCCGGCCCGTAGAGTCTCTCTCGAGCGCGTACACCCACTTGCACGAAATAACGCGCTTGCCCTTGGCCTCCGTGCGTCGCACGAGCACCCAAGTTTCGTGCTGCTGCTGTGAGTCCATCTCGACTTGCATCGCTGCTTTCCACTCCTTCCACTTCTTTGACCTTGCCGCATGCTTGTGACTAATGGGGATCTGCACATCCTCGACGTTCTGCTTCGTCACATTCGTCACTACGTAGTCCTTGAGTCGGGCGGATGGCTGTCGCTTCCGCTTCGGTCGCGAGGTAGCTGCACTGTCGTCTGGCGACGACTTCTGCGTCATGCATGGCTCCCAGTTCTCGTCTTCGTGAGCGTCACGTCGACTGTCCTTGGTCTTCGAGGCTCCCACTCGATTTGCACATGCTTTCGCCTTATTCTGGCCCTTTGTGTTCTTCCGCTTGGAACCTCCCACTGAAGCTGCTGGCTTCTTAGCGTCCTCGCTTGGTAGCTTTGGGTCATCACTTCGAGTCGCAGACTCGGCTTCAACTTCAACACCTTGGTCCTGGTTCTCACCAGCGGTGGCCAGTTTCGCCATTTTCCGCTGCTCGCCTTTCTGCAAGCTCTGCAGGCAGCTGCAGGTACGTAGACATTGTCGTCCGGATCGGCACGATCGGGATCTCCGCAGGTAAGGCGTAGTCTCCGTAAGCGTAGGTGTTTGCAAGAAGTTGCTCAATATACACAGTGTTCACTGTGTACTTCTCGTGTGCCTTCATGTTTCCATCTCTGCACGTCGTCACTGATCCTGTGCGTAGGTTCAGCAGCTTATAGCCCTTGGTCTTCTCGCTGTAGCCAAGTAGTAAGCACATCTGCGTCCTTGGAGTGAGCTTCTCCTTTCTCTGCCGAGAATCGTCAGGGATGTGTGCGTGCACCAAGCACCCCCACGTGCGCAGCACGCTGAGGTCTGGCCGCTCTCCGTACAGGTCCTCGTACGGGGACTGCTGGTCCTTCAACACCGGCGTCGGCGTCTTGTTGAGCGTCTCAATTGCATGTAGGAAGGCTTCTCCCCATAATGAAACAGGCATTTGCGTAGCTTGTAACATAGATCTGACCTGCCGCATGGCGGTCTGGTTCGTGCGCTCCACGATAGCGTTCTCCTGCGGGCTGTAGGGATTGGATGAACGCGTGTCGATGCCGAGGTCCTTGCAGAAGGTCTCGAGCTGCATGTTGACGAACTCGCCACCACCATCGGAGAACAGCATCTTGATGGTCGCCTTCGGGAACTGGTTCTGGATCCAGCGAATCTGCTTCTGAATCAGCTCCGTGGCTTCGTCTTTGTATGCTGTAACGGGGTTACATGGTGTGGAACACACAGGGGTACGAAGTACCCGGAGAGCTAACAAACTCTCAGTACATAAGTTGGAGAGTTAACAAGGTCTCTCAGTACGTTGGCCGAAAGCCACACGTTATGCATTTGGTTAGGTTTAACTATGCTAGATAGTTAAACAGATACATTTACCCCTAGGCGGCTTGGCCGCAATAATAGTAAATAAAACACTTCTGGTTTTGAAGCATAAAAGTTAAGGTGTTAACTTTGAGCCCTGGTCTTGGGCTGTAAGTGTCCTTTGGATAAGGAACTTAGTATTAGTGACTCTTTGAGTCGAACGTCTTTATCTGACGCTAAAGCTACGGCAGCCCCGCTGCATAGGCTAATAGATATCCTCACTTGTATCTCGTAGCTTCGTCGATAATCAATAGAAACTGGTTTGATTTCGATATTGTATCCACTCCAACACTGCATAGGTCGACACAAAGCTTGTGCAAGGGCTTTGTAGAGCGAGACGGCTTGCGCTTGTAGCTCATGCGCTTCGTCTTTGACTCTAAGCATGGAATGCATTCATAGAGAGCAAAATTCTTCGACTGCATGTTGATGCCAAAGTTATAGTTTCCTGCCATAGTCTTGATAGTCTCCATGTTCACGTGGCCCATGCGGTTGTGCAGCAACATCATGGGGTTCTCAGCTTCACTGGCCTTGACGCTCATCACGTTCTTGCTCTGACGTGGCGTCCACATGCGGTACATCCCGCGGATGTGCTTGAAGCGCAGCTTCAATGTGTCCTTGACCAGCCACGTAGTCTTCTGATCATGCGAGACGCGCACCTTGAAGTTTCCTTTGAATTGTATGTAGGTCTGCGAGATCAGGTTGTAGGCAGCCGACTTGGCGTAGCTCACGTCATCAAGGAGGCGCTCCTCAATCTTGCCCGTGTGCTCGTTCAGCACTTGCATGAGCACTGTGCCCACAGTTGCGCGCTCGGTTGTGCCGTTGCCGAAGACTAGCTCTGCGACTGAGTCTTCGTGTAGCTCCGTAAACAAGGTAAGGTCGCTCGAGACGTTGGTCTGCGCACCGCTATCCAACACCCACTCCACCATGTCCTGGTCCTTGTCCTTGTCCTTGTCCTTGTCCTTGTAGTTGAAGCTGTCACGCACCGCGAGTACATGCTCTTGTCCTTCAGCTTGAGTCGGTGCAGCCGACTTGGCTCTCTTCACAGTAACCACATCGATCATCCTGCGCGGCGGGTTGCTCGAGTTGTTGTTGTTGTTATTGTTGCCACGCTGGCGGCACTCAGGATCGCCACTCCAATGTCCTTGCTCTCCGCACGAGTTGCACTTCGTCTTCGCCTTTCGCTTGGCGATGTCATCCCTCGCACTGGATGAACTCTTGCTCTTCTGCCGCTTGTTCCGCCCACGCGGCGATGAGCTGCGGCTGCGACGATTGTGCGGTTGTTGTTGCCTCGTGCTTGGCTGCTGCTTGAGTTTCGACGTCCTCTTCTGTCGTTGTGTCCGTCGCCACGGCCACCCACAAATGCAACATCTCGCTGGGCGGCACGTCCACCTCCACCACGTCCTTGCTGTAGTTCAGTCTCTTGGCGTGAGTGGTCAGCGAGTCGAAGGCGCTCGATCGCTTGCTCCCACGTAATGGACTCATCACGTCCAATACGTACTTCATGGTCGTTTACCACCGCTGGGTACACACCCACTGTATTCGACAATAGGATAGAGACGGCTTCCTGCTCAGGCAGCTGCTTGTTCGCGCGGCGAAGTCTCTGCTGGTAGTCGTCGATGTCACGAATGTAATCGTCAAGTCGCTCGTCACGTTGCAGGCGACGATTCAGCATATCTCGCTTGAGAAACACGCTGTTTACGCCAGGATGGTTATCAAAATGATCTTCCAGTGTATGCCACAGTAGGATAGGATCAGCACATTGACTAACACTTGTAAATCGCATCTGTAGCTCTTGACTAAGTCCCATCGTAAGTTCACGTTGAGCAACACGCAGTCGTTGCTTGAAACAGCAGCGCTGTCCTTCGTTACGTTGGTCTGCCATCATTTCGCGCTCCATGATGGGGTCCAAGAGGTGTGCGACGTCGAGAATGGAGCAAATCTCGACGCGCCACGTCTGGTAGTTGTTATCGGTAAGTCTTGCGTTCAACTGCACGTGTCCGCTCTGGTTCATGCACCGCGTGCATCTGTGGTCTCCCCCCATGGGTTCGTGCGTTGCGGAGTCGGTCCCGGCCTCGGTCTGGACTGGCTGCGCTGCAGCCTCGGACAGTCTCGGGTTTCTTGGCGGCTCGCTCTGACGCGTGCTGGCGCCGGCGGTAAGTTCCTCTGTGCTTGGATTTCCTCGGCGGGGTCCGTACGGCGTCGGCACTCGCTGCGGTTGTGCTCGAGCCGCTGAGAATTCTTGAATGAGCTGCCTTTGTTGGCGTCGGGTGGATGCTTCCACTGGAATGTTCTGCACTTGCTGCTGATTTGTCAGTGTAGTCATAACGGTACCGAATTGGGCCAATAAGAGCTCGAGTTGTTGCTCAACTCGGGTTGATGACGCTTGTGACGTCGCATGTGCCTCGTCTGACGTTGTCTCGTCTGCTCTTGCAGACAACTGCAACTCGTCGGACGCGCGCGAGCTCTGCGTACTCCGGACTGGGCTTCCAGCTCTCCTTCTTGGGCTCATAACCTGAGTGATGGTCGCTCCTCGGCTGCGCCGAGTGGTGACCATTGTGGTGAAGGAAGAAGTCGTAACAACAGTAAGTTGCAGGGACTGAAAGTCCAGCAGGGGAGAAAACCGAGTGCTGCTGCTTGCTCTTGACGGCGCAAGTTGTCGAGTGTGTAGCAGCACACGGAAAAACCCCGGTAACATATATTCGTAGGATTAGCAGTAGGATGGGGCTGGCGGCTCGCCAGCCAATGGTCCGTCGAAGTCCGGCTTCTGGACGCGAGCATCGCGTCCTGGAGGCACCTGAGCCTCAGGTTTGAGCTGGACGCAGTCCTGGCTCTTCCTCCACACTTCACACAGCCAAGGTCACAGCTTGGGCAGTGGCGTAGGCGGCTCGTGCAGCGGCTGCAGCAGCAGCTTGGGCGCGAGTCAGTAGCATTGTTCTTCTCGGAGGGAAATAACGCATCGCAAAATTTGTAGTAGATTAATAGCCAGTAAAATAAAACATTGTTTTGACAAATTAGATCGCTGAAGAACGAGCAGAACGAGCACCCTGAAATTGATAATGGCTACGAGCACTAAAACCTCGACGTGCGATTTTCACTGTGTTTACATGTCAAACGTAGGTTTGGAAATTTAGACTACCGTAGAGCTCACAAAACTCGTTTCAAATCTGTATGCCACATCAAATTTTGTAAACACTGTTTAGTTTAAACACGCACACTGTTGATTTCGGAGCAATGGCCAATGGAGCGGACGACCCCAATGCGCGGCTGGGCGTGCACGTGGAGGACATGAGCAAGGAGACGCCGCCCAACCCGTTCCTGTTTCCTCGCTCTTTCCTCAACATGCACTTGCTGTACGACACCGTGGGTATTCATCCGTTCCTTCCCGCGTACCCGCCGCAGATCCTGCAGTGGCAACAGCCCAACCCCATCACCGAGTCGTGCGCTGGCAAGTTCTTTCTCTCGGCGGCCATGGGTGCGTGCTACTGCGTTTCCTAAAAGTTTAGAATACTTATTGACATTAAGCGCTGCATTTCTCGCTACAGGGTACGTCATGGGCAACGTTTTCGGTCTAGTTTTGGGCAGCTACGAAGGCATCACGCCGCCTGTGCCGCTCCCCGGACAGAGAGAACTGCCAAAAGTACCGTGGCGCGAGTCGGTACGTCTGTGATATTATAAATGTCTTGCTGTTTCAGCTGTCGAGTTGATTAACGTTGATACGGTACTGCAGCTGGCTGGATCATGGAGAGTCACAGCAGGGAAATGCCGCTATTGGGGCAACAACTTCCTCGTCATATCGGCCATGTTCTCAGGTCTTGAGTGCGCGACTGAGAAGATTCGTGCACGGCACGACGTGGGTAATGAACTGGTGGCGGGTTGCGCCACGGGTGCAGCGCTGGCAGCCGGCCAGGGTATCCAAGCGCAGTGTCTCGGCTGCGCTGGTTTTGCTGCCTTCTCGTATGCGATCAACGTCTTCACAGGCGGCAAGTTTTAGACTTTGTCTCTTATTATACAGGAAAAACAACAACAAGAGCAAACATCATGAGTTGTGGGCTTTATATACTGGTCCTAGCACGCCATGTAGCCGCCGTCTACGAGCAAGTTGACGCCGTGGACGTATCGAGCGTCGTCCGATACCAGGAACGTGACAGCGTTGGCTACATCCATCACCTTGCCAGGCTCTTCAGCTGGAATCCGGTTATTTGATGCTGGAGCGAGACAATCGTCACGACTGATGGAGTCGTCAATGAAGCCCGGAGCCACAGCGTTGCACACAATGCCACTTGACGCATATTCCGCAGCGACCTGGCGCGTGAGCTGCACGATGGCTGCTTTGCCCACTCCAAACGTGAAGTGGCCCTTGCGGGCGACCATTCCGTACAGCGATGAGATGTTAACAATGCGACCACGAACAGCTCCGTTGTCCTGCGTCAGCATCTGCTGCACTGCACGCTTACAACTGAGGAAGACGGCCTTGGCAGACACTCCCATGGCTTCGTCCCACGCCGTAGCGTCCACATCCACTAGAGCTGTGGGCTTCGCGCCACTGTCCTTCGGAGCTGGAACGCAGTTGACCACAAAGTCAACGCGGCCGAACTCCTTGGCAATAGCAGCGTACGTTGCGTCTACAAAGCTCCAGTCGTGTAGTTCGCCTTCGTAAATCTTGGCGGGTGTCGCGCCCTCCAGTTCTTGGATCTGAGCCTCCACGTTGCAGGTCTGAGGAGAGTTCATAGCGTCCGCTCCTTTCGCGCCAATTATAGCGAGTTTGGCGCCTTCCTTTACCAGCTTGACGGCAATGAGCTGTCCCAACCCGACATTCCCGCCCACAACGACGCCCACGCGGCCTTGTAGTCGCTCACCGCTCTTACCGCTCGTCTGTAGTCACGAAATAGCAATACATAGCTCGTAACACATCCTCGATACAATTAAAACTTAAGATATTATGCACGCACCACAGAGGCAACGGCTTGCGCCGCTCGTGCAGAATTCTTCTCGTCGTTGAGTTTGAGCGCCGCCGCGATCTCTTTGGGTGTGAGCCCCTTCTTCTCCAAGAACTGCAGTCTCTCCGACAGCGGCGTGTCCTGCACCTTTGGATGCTGCAGAAAACGCACACCTTGCTGTACCAGCTCGTCGCGGACCGACATGATAATTCACGTAAAGGTTCAAGCGCTCAATTGCGGAATGACAACTTCAAAATGGTTGACGTCGTCAGGTGGGCTATTTAGAAATGCATTTCTAATATTTCCTCATTCTGTGTTTTAAACACAAGAACCAGATTTCTGTATTAGCCAATCAAGTCACTTTAGGAAAGTCATATGGGTGAGTGTACGTCAGTCTGCAAAAGGACGTGACGAGGACAAGTCGAAGATGATGCCGTTATCGACGCCCCTGGCGAGCCCCGGGCCTACGCGCAGCAGGTACGAAGACCACGAGGCATTGGAGGACGCGTCGGAGGTGTATGGTACCTTCCACGGCCGTGTGGTGCCCGATATCGACGGGAGATCTCGTGTATCAAGCAAACTATGGCGATCGGTGGGATTCGCGACGTTGTTGCTGGTTCTAGCGGGCTACATGCTGCTACAAAGCCACTACGAGTCCGTCAGTGGACGAGAGGAACTTAAAACGAGCTCAACAAGCCCCTTGGCAACGTCTGAAATCCACCAGAAGGCTCCGAACGAGGCCCAGCAAACAACAACACTCAGTCACAAACACAAGGACGACGAGAGTGATGATCTTTCCAAGCTGGAACGCAAGTTCTTGGACTCGGTGGACACCACCGAGATCCGTAAATTCCACGGCGCATACGCCAGTGTCCCGCATCCGGCTGGTAGCCATCAAGACTACAAGACGGCGCTGTTTACGGCCGAACAGTTCGAGTCTTTCGGCCTTAAAGCCGAGATCGTGGAGTACTACCCTCTACTATCACTTCCCATCCACCGGAAGCTCAGTATTCTGGCTCCAAGTGAAGCAGCTAGAGAGCTGAACCTGACCGAGGCAACGATCACGGGAGACTCGTGCACGAGCAACGAGGACGCGCTGCCCCCTTATCTCGGGTACTCGGCCTCTGGCAACGTCACGGCGTCTGTCGTGTACGTCAACTACGCCAGACCAGTGGATTTCCAGTGGCTTCGAGACCATAACGTCACTTTGGAAGGCAAGATCGCGCTCGTGCGATATGGAGGCAACTTCCGAGGCCTCAAGGTCATGTTGGCAGAGCAGCATGGGATGGCTGGCGTGCTGATCTACTCGGACCCTCTAGACGACGGATACGCCCAAGGACCAGTCTATCCGGAAGGTCCATGGCGACCGGAAGGCTCCTTTCAACGGGGCTCTGTGCAGTATAACTCCATCTACGGCGGAGATCCCCTCACTCCCGGCTTCCCGTCGCTACCTGGAGAGCCCTATCTGAGCCAGGAAGAGTGTAAAACCATCCCACACATCCCTGCGCTGCCTCTGTCGTATGGTCAGGCTCGGTACATTCTCGAGTCTCTAAGAGGGGAGAAAGCTCCCGAGCTCTGGCAAGGCGCGTTGGCTCTGAGCAATGGAGGCTACTTCGTGGGTGACGATGAGGCTACAGTGCTGAACTTGGACGTGACTATGGACAACAGTATTGGTCCGATCTGGGACGTCATCGGCACGATCGAGGGCGCGGAGGAGCCGGAGCAGATGGTCATCATCGGCAACCACCGTGACGCGTGGGTGTGTGGAGCGGTGGACCCGTCCAGTGGGTCGGCTGTGATGCTGGAGATCGCTCGCGGGCTCGGATACTTGCTGAAGGAAGGCTGGAGGCCACGTCGAACGCTCGTCATCGCGTCGTGGGACGGGGAGGAGCTGGGGCTACTGGGCAGCACCGAGTTCGCAGAGGACCACGCCGAGTTGCTCAAGAAGCAGGCGGTGGCCTACGTCAACGTGGACAACGTGGTTGGCTCGTTCGTGAGCTCCGGCGGAACGCCATCGATCGCCAACTTCCTGCAAGCCACCGCGCAGCTCATTCCTGGCAACGCTTTCCAGGGCGTCGACGTCACCGAGAGCTTGTACGAGCAGTGGGAGAGTCAGACAGCTATTCGACGCTCGAGTCTTGCGGCTGGAGCGGACGATGGCACGCTGGCTCCGGAGCATCTGCTCCAGTTCTTGGGCTCCGGTACGGACTTTACGGCGTTCTACCAGCACCTCGGAATCATTTCTGCCAACTTGGGCTACACGGTCGGTAGCGCCACGTACGGGACGTATCACAGCACCATGGACAGCATTCCGTACGTGGAGAGTGTGGGAGATCCGCACTACGCAACGCACACGACGATGGCCAAGTGGTGGGGGCTCATCACGCTGCGGTTAGTGGACAGCGCTATCGTCCCATTCGACTTTTCTACCTACGCCCTTGTGATGCAGGAAGACTTGGCTGGATACGAGAAGATCACGGCGGAAATGGGACGTCACGTCGACTACGCGGAGCTCCATGACGCCATCGAGACGCTCGGCAGCAACGCTGAAGTCTTTCAAGCTCGAATTGCGGCGTTTGCAGAGAAGAATCCTAAAAAGAAGAAAGAGACTCGCAAGCTCGAGACGGAGCGGCACTTCTGGAACGACAAACTCGTGCGTCTCGAGCGCTATCTGCTCTCTGACGCTGGACTGCCGCATCGACCGTGGTTCAAGCACATGATCTTCGGACCGGGCTTCTACGAAGGGTACAAGGGAGCTGCGTTCCCTGGTATCTCGGACTGCATTGTCTTCGAGGACGACAACGCTGCGATCCAAGCGCACGTGGACGACGTCGCGGCAGTCATCAACACTGCAGCGGCCTTTTTGACGTCCGCGTGAGCGAGCAAACTAACACGAGAGAAATGAAAATCTAGTGTTTTTGTCTCTTGGACTCTTACTTTTTCGGAATGTCGTGTTCTCGCTTACTAAATACTGAGGCGAAGTCATTGCAGTAAAACTAATCGCACATAACAAGCTTACAAATTGTCTCTCGACGCCTTGACGCAAACTTGAGCAATTTACAAAACGACGGCGACGATAACAATCTGGATGGTCGTCATCGGTGCTAAAGCAGCGAGATCGCTGCAAATTGAGAAATGGAAGCGAAGGTACGCTTAATGCGAGTGTTACCGAATGGTAAAACGACCCCGATCGTGAGCGTGAGCAGACCTCAAAGATAGCTTGCTCTCAATGAGAGCTCGTTGTATGTGTCTGTATGCGACTCACAAAATGCTAAACGTAACTTTTAAAGCGTATCGTACAACGCATGTACATGTATAGCACCACTCTGTTCCTATAACACGTCTCCTTGTTAAACACAAGCTGTGAGCTACAGGCATAGTATAGCTCAATGATACGACTACTAAAAGCGCACGCTTAGGCTCTATTAGGGAGATTTTTTTTATATAACACAGTCGAAGAACAAATATTAAAATAGTCAGGTCGTTTTGGGCTAGTTAACCCCTCGACTCCCAGGAATGAGGGCACCGGACGGCTTATTGTACGTCGTATCTTACGACTTAGTGCTAGAGCTGAATAACTGTATGGGGCAAAGAAAGCCCTAGGGGATGGGGTATAAGTTGTTAACAGGTCCTTCGTAACTTAGTTTGCATTATTCAGCTATGTATGTCGTAACTTACCACGAGCCAGCACTGACTAGAAGAGAAAGTCCGATCATTGGCCTGTCATTTGCAAACACGAAACGTAGAAAACACATTGATTCAAGGTTCTGTGCATTACGAGCAAAGGACTCATCAAGTTCGCACTCGTCTTTGCTACGCTACTCAGCCTCGTCATCGGCTTCGTCACCTCGCAGCTGGATCTCTCGGCGAGTCTTCTGCCGTTTTCCTGCTTCTTGTCCGGGTCGCCGCAGCACAATCCGCTCCCCCAAGTTCGACGGTATGCTCTGGCCGGCATCAAAATTGTCGTGCCAGATTTCGAAGCACGTCTTGGCCACCCCTTTGTATTCTCGCCGGATCTTGTTGCAGAGCCAACACTTGGCATCATCGATCGAACAGCGCTCACAATAGAAGGTTGTCGCGTAAGATTTCTTCTTGCGGTCGATTCTCAACAACGCGCACACCTTGCAGGAGCGCTGGCGACGCTTCTGCACATTGGAGACCGTCACCCAGTCCTCACACTGCTCCAAGACATGTGTAAGCCGCGGGGTACGCTTACGTTTCTGCGCTGAAGGTGGTGGCGTTGCGACTACACCGGTGAAGTCTTCTGCCTTCAGTTGAAGGAGCTGGTTTTGGAGGACGCCGTACCACTCGCGACGCTTCATAGCTGGTATACCAGCTATCTTCGCAGCCTCGGTGTGGGAGATGTAGGCATTGACTAACGCGAGATCGACGAAGCCTAAGAATAGGCTTTTATAATATTTCTTGAGCTTAGTAGATGTTTGGAGCGAGTAGGCTTGGAGGCGGAGCTGATCATGCACATCAACTCCACCCATCCAACCTTGGTAGTCGTTTACGGCGGCTGGGCATGGCACCGTAATTGCCCCAACCTGCTTCACCTTCCGCTCAATCGTTGACGGCGCCATCGTTGCGCCTGTACACAGGTAGTGGACCGGCTTGCGGTCCCACCAGTGGAAAGCAATCATGGATGGTATTGCAACCGAACGTGAAAAGGTAAACGTGCCGCGTGGGATGTTCGCCGGGCGCGTTGCTCTCTTTACTTGGAGGTTCTTGTCCAGCCCGAGACGGTTGACCATGATAGTACCAATAACGTAAACGTTCATCTTCAGCAGCTCGATTGCAAGGAGAATAGAAGAGTAGTATCTGTCTACAACAACCGCGCACCACCGTTGTCGCTTGTTTTCTGCAAGTACAATCTTCAGGTTCCTGACCACAGCAGCTGCACCTGTCTTGTGGTCAAATGAAGTGCTGCCGTCAGCCTCTGAAGTGCGCTTGCCTGCATACATTTCGAATCTGGTAAGATACGACATAGAAGTCGGTCAGAATGGTTGATGGCGTATCTTACGACATTCAGATGCTTACCTGTGACAATAGGCTGTCCTCGAGTCGCACGTCATAAACATCTTCGACCCGTATCGGTGTGGTTTATCAGGCATAAACATTCTCGTCGTGTTCCGCTTAGACGTGGCTGGTAATACCCCCTCATCAAAAGAAAAAACACCAGGCAGCGACCAGCCCTCCAGGAAACGCTGCTGAAGCTTGGCAATTACCGGTCGCAGTTTCCACAGCCTGTCCCTGTTCCGTTCGCCCTGGTTGTCGACGAAGTGGAGATCTCTCAGGATATCCTGGCAGCGGCTGCGGCTCATGAAGCGTCCGAAGCTGCCAGCAGGAACGGCGCCATCTTCGACCATCGACCAGTGCGCTGCAAAGCTCTTCTGCGGGCAGAGCATGCGCGCAACGAGCAAACCGAGGGCGTGTAGGATCTCGTGAGCCTGGTACGCTGGCTTAGTTCTCAGGCGGCGCCGTATATTCTTCAGCGTTTCTTGGCGGCGGTCGGGGTGCTTGACTTGTCGAGCATGAATTGCTTCAGCTCGTCTGTCTACTTGCTGAAATGCGTAAATGTTCGTTTCTTGGTTGATATTCACCCACATGGACTTGGGCATAAAATAGAAGAAGGTAAAAAGTGGCGAGTGTGTGACATTGCGTAGCTCTCTCGTTGGCTGAGCAAGCTCCGCACCAAGTCCTGGATACGCTTCCACATTTGACTCGAAAGAAGACGACACAGACGTCCACTTCATTGCTCGCAACGCATCCTCGCGCTGGTGCAGACTGCGTCGATCAGGTGCTTCAGTGTCCAACTGAAGTGAAGCGATGAAAGCCTCATCCATCTCCACGGCGTCGCCATCGGAGATGCCATCATCGCTACAGTCGTCGTCTCCACGGTCTGGACCTTCGTCGTCTTCTGTGTAGGCAACACCGTCGCTCTCATCCGAGCTGAAGCTTTCGTACGTGCTTGTGTTTTCATTCTCAGGTACGAAGTTGATATCCTTTTCTTCTTTGGGAGCTTGACGCTGGGGCTTCCGTCTTTGTTCATCGGCAATAGACTTGTCCTCTTCTTCAACGCCGCTCTCAGCTCCAGACGCGCCCGACAGCAATTGCAAACGAGCGGCAGCTTCTTCAAGTTGCGAGGCGTCCAGTAATAGGCCTTCAGGTGGCAAATCAAATGCCCGAGTGACTGCCGACTGTGACAGATCTGCCTCCGACTCGCTAGACGTGCCGAACAAATCTCTCATGGTACGTTGCGATATCTCGATACTGGTGTCAATCTGCGAGGCGGTAACGCGTTTATCAGAGGTTCTGTCATCCAGGGTATCCGCATCGTTGTCACTGTCACCTTCGACCAGAAGTCCAGACTCCAGAGCATATTCCACTACGGCGTCTTCTCCAATCAGCACCTTGGTACCATCAGGACTTGAATAACCCCACTCGGTCTGCAATCCACTGGGCTTCTTCGCTGTCCACCCAGCAGCACGAAGCTGGCGCCAGAAGTGACCAAAGTCGATATCACGCGCGGTGGCGGCGGCTGTAGCTGCTGCCGCGACTGTAGCTGCGGCCTTCCCTCGACGACTGGAACGAATGCGCGCCATTCGGCGTAAGCTGGAATGAGCGGTTGACAAGCCACCGATTCAGATAAAAAAACTGATCCCCGTCCCCTACTTTTCCCGCGCACCCCGTTTCTTGGTTTTCATATAATACCTCCAGGACCTGATTTTTTCAAAATGACTTGATTAAAGTATTGGAAAAATAATTCTGAGCCAAATTCTGTTGTAATGCCTTTTACGTCGTAAGATACGACGTAAATTTTTTAATATGTCGTATCTTACGACGTTGGGAGTCGAGGGGTTAAGAATAATTACTGCAATTTTCACATTAGACCTAGAGTTTCACGCTCTTTTAGACCAAGCTTAAAAAAGCTAGAGCTCTTTACATACTTAGTTTTGACCAATTATATCATTCGATGTGCTGCCTTCTGAGAGAAGTATTTGACAAGCTATGTACAGTACCCTAGACTATTAGCTTCTTGGTCTGGTATTATTCTGATTATGCTCTCGCTGTTTGATTCCATCTTGATTGCGTAATACCGTTCGTGCAAACAGCACTGTGAAAGGAGTGAAGCCGAACGATGTGTCGTTAGCACAAAACGCATCCAGTAAATCGAGAAAACAAACTTTTGCAGCTTGGAGCTGTGTCAGCAGTAAACGGCTCCAGAACGTTTGCCAGCCACTACTTTCTCGTTTGGAATCCTGGTGGCTTCGATTGAAACTAAAGGGTTGGCCGAATAGTGCTATTTTATTATTTTATAATTAGTTGCTGTGAAATAGTATTGTCCCGTGATACTCAATGCGAATAAACGCTACTAGCATTATTTAGTCTTTTAAATAAACGATGGAACGTGCGGTTAGAGCAGAACCTGACACGTCGAGCCTTCTTCTTGGAGAAGTTTGCTAGTTTCATTTAGGTCTTCTATATCGTGATTGGTCTTGTGCGCGGGTAACACAGTACCACACGTGACCTCGAGTGCCTCGGATATTGACACCATCACATATCAAGACGTGGGTAGCGAAGCTCTACGTCACGGTCGCTGCCGCCTCCGCAAGAATGAGGCTCCGATCGACGTCGCTTCCAGCGACTCGGAGTTCAGAGCCCGGACTCCTCCGACGCGGCAGGTGGAAGAGCCTATCACATCTTCGATGGCGAGACCGGTTTACCCATGATGTCATCTGGCATCCCCTCGGAGCCGTTGCCAGAAGTTGCAGATAAACTGACCCTAGAGGAAATGACGGCCAAGTCTTTCTGGCCAGCCTCAAGGCTAGGGAGATTGCTGAGATGGTGTTCATAAGACCAGAGGCCACTCGGGAGGAGTTGAACTCCTCCTCTGCCTTGGACGAGGACGTCCTGGGCGAG